GGATAAGAATTTGTTCTTTTACTTTCTTGAGCTTCTGACTGACATTTATCATCACAGCTGAGGCAGCTTTTATTTTCTTGGATCCCAGATACTCTAGGAATTCTAGAAAGATGTGTTCAGTGGGAGGAAGTCAACCTTTGATTTCTGTCACTGAACAGGCTTTTATGTCTGCTGAAGCTGTTTTCTTCCATAACACTATGTCTAGCCTTCTGAAGACTCCAATTACTTTTCCCCTTCCAAGAATTTCAACTGTTTGCATTAACTGACAGCTGTGAAACTAGATTCTGAAACAGCAGAATAGGCTGAAGCAGTCACAGTTATTTGCTACTATCTAAAAATGTGTTAAGTTGTACAGGTACTGGGAAAACTTTTTTTTTTTTTTTAAATAAATATCTGTTTTGGAGGATGACTGTTGAAAAGATGTGTCTGTTATGTAAACAGGTCTTTGATGGAAACCTCTCTTTACTTCACCTTCCTGGCCGCAACTAAGTTCAAAGATTCCTATCGAAGTGTGCAATAAACACGTGTTTATCATATTATCAGTTGTCTGAAAATACTTATTCCCAGCTATTATCCAGTAAACCATTTCATCTCAAGCAAGATTTCAAAACAAACTATCTTCAAATGTTTTAGGAACAGCTCCTGAAAAACTAAGGGTCCCTGATTACATAAATCATTTTAGGCAGCCTATAGTGACAAAGCACCACCATGGTCTGGTGGTTCTCAAATACATGTGCCAATATGGATTAACGTTTGTAGGTTTTTTGCCCAGCAAATAAGTATCCACATGAAAACAAACCTATATCAAACCAACAGCAATAAAAGTACTGTGGAATTGCTGTTGCAGGCAAACAGGGGGAGAGTCCTGAAACAAAAGTAGAGTGGGATCTTTATAGGATCATAAAGACCACAGAAAACTGAGGAAAAACATTCTCCACCCTGGCTAAACCACATGTTAGAATAGTGATTGTCTATCGAGTCTTTATTGCCTTATCTCCAAAGCTTTCATTTCAAATCACCTAGAATTTTCTAAACCAACGCAAAAAGACAAATTACACACCTACCATCACCATTTTGATAGGCCAGAAGCACTGCAAGATAATTAACAGTTCTTCAGTTCTGGCAAAAGAAGTAGAACACACTTTATAGGACAGGGACAGCTAGGGAAAGCAATCTGCTGCTGAAGCCATAAATCTCTCTGAACATGACAATAACTGAGAATACTACCTAAGCCTCACAGATGCAACATCATCCACATGTGCCACAGAGAAAAAACAGGCCTTAAAGAACTAATATAGAAAGAAAAACTGAAATAAAGAGGTAAAAATGCACAGACTGAAAATCCTGTAATCCACTCAGAAGATCATGTCATCCAGATTTAAGTTTCACAGTTTTGAGTCTACTCTGTGGTCAGCCAAGTTCCCTTGGTTTTAGCTTTTCTGATCACTTAGTATTTCCGAAGTCTCTTCTTCTAGCCTGTAGCAACTTCTATGTGCCATTTCTAGACCAGATCTGTATGCTCACTTTCCTTTACACCATTTCCTCTGAAATTCCTGGTCTGCCTCACTACAGAAGACAGTAGATAACTGAGTGAAACAGGGGATACTAATCAGCCAAGACAGGGAAACAAACAGGAATTAAGCAAGTAACAACCAAAAGATGGTCCAGCATCTGTACCAGTAGCTCACATGTCCATCTTATTTTTGCTAAGTCTGACTCTGAAGGACTGTATCAAAACAGTGGCAAGTATAGGAGGAAGAGGAGGAGGATCTTGCTGCAGGATCGAAGAATAGGAAACACTGTCTATTTCCCCATAGACTGAACATAATTTTGCAAATACTTGTGAGACTGTCGGTCACTGATACACCTGTTTAGACACCCACCCAACAATGAAATAATACACAAAACTCATGAAAGTGCAAGGCAGAAAGACTAGTATTTTTGAGTAAAACATCCAACAAAAGAAGCTCACAAACCAGCTCTTGCTAAGCATGTTACATCTTCACTTTCCCTCAGTTACTGTAGCAAGTACAGACCACAGAGTATCAATATCCATTTAGCATGTGTTCTGTTTAACAAGGCCTGACAATTATCTGGATTACTGGATGTAACTAGGAAAAGGCAGCTTTCCAGAGATCTCATTCAAAAATCTAGTATAACAGCCAAGGAAGGGCCCAGCTATAGCGGTGCTATTGTCAACTATTTCAAACAAAACCATAAACATTTACTGCAGCAGTACCATGCACAAGCCAGTAAGTCAGCCTGATCTTTTGAGGGTAAGTAATTTATGTAACAGATCAGTTGATTTTACAAGGTTTATTTTGAGAAAGGGGGAGTAATATAGTTGTTTTTTCACTTAAGTGAGAGAAGGAATTGAAAGATACCTATAGGCCAAATACCCCTGCTAGGTTCATTTTACGGACTCAGACTTTTGCTTTTCAAAAAATCTGTCACAGAGCTATCAGTTGACACTTGTCAAAACTGACATGATGAGGCATCAAAATTTAAAGTAGAAAATGTTAGACAGATATTTTTCTCCACAGTTCTTAAACTGTCTCAAGCACAATTTTTAAAGCAATTTAATTCTGCATCACCTGACTTCCAAGCGAGGCTTGCCCATCAAACATGCTTCTATTTCAGTATTTATTACTTTCAGTACAGGCAAAAAACCTGTACTCACGGACCCATGTAGATAATGTAGAAAATATATATATATGCATAAAGTCAAGGTGTGAAGATACAGGGGCCAAACATTAATATCTGCTCTAAAAATCTTGACCAAGGAGATAGCAGAATAAAGCTGATTCACATGGATTTCCTCCTACATCCCTTACATGAAAAAGATCAAAAAGGATCTTCTTTTAGCCATAAGGTGTTTTAGAATATCTGCAAAAAATCCCAAGTTTAAAAGTTTATTTTCAATTTTTCAAAGCCTAAATCACAGAAGCTAACTAGACAAGTAGTAAATATCTGCATATGTGTAAGCATATATATACAGAGAAAACTCCTGTTCATCAGGAAACAAATTACTCTTGTTTGCCTTAACAGAGAAGTGTGTCAGAGAGATTCTGTCTTTATTCTGGAAAACCTCTATTCATTGTACCTCAATGCTGGATGTCTTCATGGAGCCAAAAGCTATATATATAGATTGAATCAAATTTGGGTTCATAGTGTTGTTTATATTAAAACCAGATCTCTCTTACTAAAGAAACTTGATTGTAACCATCCCAAGAAGTTACTCTCCAGGAAACATCTACACATCCCAGAAATGAAGACCATAAATAGCAGCAATTATGCAATATCAGCTAGTCACCCTTAGCTTGCAAATTGATCCTGGAGCAGCTTTGTTTGAATACTCCATAAGCTTTACAGGAAAGCTTTTAGCATACTTAAATTCTGCCTGGGGCCACCACCATTTGTAAGACAGGAAGCATTCCCAGTCACACCTGATGGATGACAGACACCTTATCTCTGCTTGGTACCCTGTGTTACAGCCTGTAACAACAGTATTCGGACTGCATCTTCTTATACAAACAGATCTCCACTTAAGTCAACATTCTACCAGCGATACAGCAAAACAGTGTATTGATAGCTGCTAGTTAACCATTGTACAATGCAAAATCAATTTCAGCTACAAACTATCTTTTGAGATTTTATAAAGACAATGTGTGTAAGTGTACTAAAATATACTGAATGTGAACAAAAAACAGTGGAAGCAGAGACAAAAATAGAAACTATTGCCCAAGGCAAGCACTGGATGGCTAGAAATCAGTAACACTTTGGAAGGAACAGTAATTTCCCTCCCCCTTCATTACTTCCCAAGGAATTCTACTCTTCACCCATCCTGAAAGTTCCTGAACAGAATCCATCCAATCTAGGGACAGAAACAGTGACCAAGGATTTCATAAGAACATCAAGACTTCACCTGCAACCTTGTAGCACATTGAGAGGACATGACAGCAAACTGTCTACACAGAGCAGAACTACTGCTTTATCTTTAGAATTACAGTAAAATTGTAGTAATAACAACTAACTGCAAAGAAAATTACTTTCATGAGATCTGCTATCCAGTCTTCTGAACTGGAAAGTAAAAGTTTAACCTAGCAACAGGAAGATTCAGAGGCAGAAAGGGTGTCAGAAATCCAGCTTTCCACAGTCTGCAAAAAAACCCCACCAAAATATTACCTTCTGGCATTCTTTGGAAAAAGGTGAAGTCAGCTTTTCTCACAGGAGATACAAATATATGATTTACTAGAATGCAGACACCAAAGAGCAGAGAATAATGGATTTAAAATCTTTAGCGAATTGAAGCATAAGGTCTTTCCCTGTTCAAAAAAAAAAAAAACCCAAAGAAAAAACCACACCCAACACCCCAAAAGCTTCAAATTTTACTTTAATTCTCATTGTACTGTAGTAAGTATTGTGTGCTACTGTGTATTCTACCAACTGTACCCTGAAAAGCACTTATTGCAGTTCTTATCTCTTTTATTAAGTTGCCAGAGATCAAATGGCTGATCTGAGAAGGAAACCCAACACATCCCAATGCAAACCTACAGCTTTCTTTAGAGTTCTTAAAACATTTTGCTGTGTAAAAGTACTGTGTAGTCACAAGTTGTGCCTCATTCAGAAATTGGTGACAAGTTACACCCAAATATAAGACTTTGAATTGAAAAAAGGAAAACCTCAAACACTACTGTCTCTACTGGTGTCAAAAAAAAAAAAGGCAGAACAAACAGCAAAGTTTCTGATCAAGACTGAAACACTTAAGGAAATTAATAAATAAACTATAAATTATCACGTCAGTTTACAGTGCACAAAGCTACTGTTCACACAGGTTGTGCATAGATAGTCTTACTTTACACTGACAGTAATCGTAATCATTAAGTAAGACTGAATGAGGCATCTGTACTTTATGGGTAATAAATGAACACCTGTGACCTCCCACACGTAGACAGCTAACAGCCACTCTTGAACAACCAGGTTAATGCTATACTTCTCACCTGATCTTCTTCTTCATCCTCTTCATCTTCTGCCAAACGTTGCCTGCCCACTTCATACAGTCTGCAAACTGTATCCATGTTCATGGCATCCATGCTCCCTTGATTCTAAAGACGAGATGCCCACACAGCAGTTAGCCCACGAATTAAGCTCAGCATTCATATTCAATGCTACATCTGGTCTCAATTACAGAAACAGTACCAAAATCCTTCCTTCTCATTTACTAGCAGCAGTACAATTAGCACTAAAACCAAGTCTTTTTGCCCAGCAGTGATGTAAATACCTACCTTCTGCTTCCGTCATCCACAAGTCCACTCTTATTAGTAGACTTAACAAAACCTTTACTGGATCCTTAATGTGCTTTGGGTTAGTTCTCACCTAACTGCACACCACTTCCTTTCAATTCTGCCTCCCTATTATATCATTGAACCATATGCCTCAAGAGAATGCTAAAAGTTGACAACATATTACTGGGCAAAGAACTGGACCCATTAATTTAATTTTACTTCCCCCCTAACAAACCAGCAGTCTTGCTCAGTAATTTTTGCTTCAAATCCTTAGCTTCTGGGATTTTGCTAGGAAGACAAGCGAAAGAGGAACAATAAGGGTGATTCACAGCAAAGCTCCATAGGAAGCCCCAGGAAGATTGCATTTCCCAGTTATCTGATATAGCACAAATTTTAATAGGAAATTATTGCTATAAAGAGGAAAAACGTTTGAAGAGTCAGAGGCAGAAAAACTAGACTGCTGTGGGTGGTCAACAAAAAACTAACAGCATCTTTAACCATCAGCAAAACACCACCACTGCTTAGGTCATGAATTTAATAGTAGGAACTCCAGAATCATCACTTCTGCAGGTTTTCAAAAGAAACAAGAAGCACTGCACTCAAACTACAGCTACAGAGACCAGAGTTTATTCTTAGCTCCTTTACCTCAATGACAGCCAGATAGCAGTCCTTGCTGTCTGTGCACAAGTCAAAGATATTCCGCTTTACATCTATGGTAGCTGGAAAACATCACAAAAATCCTCAGTGGTTAACTGCATATTAGTTAATGCTTGCTGAAAGAAAAGGTCTAACAATATATGTCTAAAAGCAGATCATAAAATGTTGGGATACGAAACAACAGCTGAAATACAAGTGAAATGAACATTTGTAACTAATTCAACCTGTAATAAAGAACAGAAATGTTGGAGACTGTCAAAAAAGAGACAGGTAAGTTCTTAACCTGCTCTGCACAGTGTCTCCTCCCTTGATAATACATTTATTGGCTTCTCTAAGCACTGTAAACAGATAATCTTCCAGGATAGGTGGCAACCAAGCTGTGAGCCATGTCTCCTTTCAACAGCAAAAGCCACATATGTTTATGTCCATAGCAGCAACTAGCTTAGCTCCATGAACTTTGCAAGCTGGAGGCCAAACTGATAGCATTTTGAACTACCAGCATAGGGAAATGCTGTTGGGAAAAGCAAAACTAAAAATTAAAAAAAAAAAAAAAAAAAAAAAGGCACCCTTCCTGAAATGAGACCAGTGACATCCTGGCCAAATGACCTATCATCTCAGATTATGCCCTACTTGGAAAGGGGAAAAGGAAAATAAAGCCAGAACTGCTGAACAGTAGCAAGTAAGGCAATCACACACTGAAGAGGATATGATACTTGTACCTATTTTAGTGTTAAACCCAACTCTCGTGCTTCAATCAGAACAGGTCATAGCAGAATTTGTTTTGTCACGCATGCAAAGGAGAGGAGGAAGTGAATGTTACTAAGGAGAATTTTCAATAAACCTTCAAACCTCCAGATCAACCTATTTGCTCCTCTCTTACCTATAGGTTTATAATCAGTTGCATTAAATGTCCTGAAAGAAGAGCCAAAGGGACTTCTCATTCTCTCCTCCAGAAGGTCATCTTCATCATCTGCCTGCAACATAGCTGATACAAAGAAAGATTATTACACAAATCCTCCTTCCATTTGTCACTATCACCAATCAACTTAAGATGAAATCACTCTGACATGAATTTTCTTCTTATTTAATAACTTGGCAAGACCCACTCAATATCTGCTCTTCCAGAGCTGCCATTATTAACACTGCAGACCATTGAAACTTAACACAGATGACAAAATTATTTTCTCAGGCATCATCAGATCTGCCGCTATACACATTTTCTTTTTCAACAGGCTGATTTTTAATCATAAATGAGTTGTGATATTGCTGTGAGAGACAGAGAAAACTGTCTTTGTAGCATAAACATCCTGAAAAAATTCCAGTTCACACATGCCAGTAAGGTCTGGAGTCAGACAGACCCTCTGAAGCTTCCAATTTCACTGAACAAGCATGTACTTATCTCAAATCAGAGGTGACCAGGGAGAGTAATATAAGACTGAGAAGTCCTACCTCCATACATAACTGTGCCAGTATAGTTAAAGACCACACGACACTGATCCAGTGCAGGTACTGTGTGTAACAAATGGAAAGTTCTGAGGTCCCACTGAAAAAATACAGGCTAAGGAATAACAAACAATTGAAAGTTTCTATTTCTTTTCCAACACAGTGGCAAACAACTCATTAGTCATGTTCAAGAAACCTCATTGTCACCCTCTTGCAAATATGACAGAACCAGAGTCCAATTCTAGCACTACAACCCCCTCCACACGTTCAAAATGAAAAAGCTCTTACTCAAAATGTCTTTCCCAGTCATGAGAAGTTACTGCCGTAGCTTCAAGGTTATCTTGGTAAGGGATGGGAAGAGAGCAGAGGTACCACAGAGTATATTAGAAAAGAAAATCTCTCTTGCTCTCTCTGTCTGTTAAGTATTTCCTCTAGGCCATATCAGAAGCAGAATCTAGATTTAAATTAGCTAGCTGTCCGACAGTCCCTATTTACGTGATTCACAGACAAAAACTGTTGTTACCATACATAACCTGTAACACAGCAGACCATTAACACAACTTCTGCAAACAGCCACTTGTTTATCCATACAAATTCTTTAGGTCCCAGCACACTACAGTGGCCAAAGGATACAATCTCTGTGTTGACTATGACCTCTAGCCCATTGGGATGGAAAACACCACTGATGGTCATGTTGAATTTATCAAATTTGTGGATGGCTTGTGCTGATCTGACATCCCAGAGGACACCATCATTTAGGACAAGGTCATCAGTAGGGTTAAAGGTGGCACAGTTCTTCTTGTAGTTGTTGGCAAGATCTGGGTTAAACAGAGTCAATAGCTTGTTGCCAGTCTGAATATCATAGATCTTTTAGATTAAAAAGAAAAAGAAAGATTAGTCACAATTTGTAATACACCTGTGCCTAAGACTACACCACATTCCCCCTTCTAGATTGTTTCCAGAATCACCCCATTTCCCACTTTGCTTTTCCATTTCATATGAGAGCATTCCAAAGATAATGGAATAAACCCTTCCTACCAGTCCTTTAACAGTTTTTCACAGCTAGAATCAAGTCTCACTACACATTTTGGTCAGTACTTAGCTTGCTGCATGTTCACTGATACATTTCAGTAAGATCAGGATTAGTTCCAAAGAAACTAACCCCATTATGAAAAGTGAGATGTGAAGCTGCAGTCACAAGGTACCACTTAGCCAGAAACTGTTTCAGAAATGGAACTGCTTTCAAAGACAGTATTTACAAACATAGAAACTCCAAAGCACACAGTAAGGGGGAAAAAAAAAAAAAAAAAAAAAGTCAGAAACTACAGAAAAGGAGTTAAAATTCCTGGCATTTACACGGAAAGGCAACTTTCTGAGCTTTGCCCCAACAAATTGTTGGAAGATAAAAAGGGCTTTGACTAGTACAAAGGGTTTATGACCATCTTCTCAAATTTCATTGGTAACAACCCTCAGAGCGTAGCTCTCATTCACACTTACAGAGAGGAAAAAATTCTCTAGAATTAGAAAACAAATCTGCGTACCAGATAAACACAATACACAAACTGATCTGACTTCCAGATAAATCCAACTCAGAAACTTGGCAGGAATGGACAGTTTGCTTAAATAAATCAGAGTAATAAGTAAAATCATAAGTAATTCGAATGTTTCACAACAATTTTTTATGCAAATACTCTTTCAAAAGCAGTAGTGCCTACAATGAATACAAATTAGCACCGAGAAGAAGCAGATGCACTCTGAAGCCTGCGTCTGTCAAATTTGCAGGTATTCATGCAAAACAGTACAACAGTATCCTCTGAAAATATATTGGTAAAATATTGGTAAAATTAAATTACTCAAAAGCAAGCTGCAAATCAGGGCAGTGGGTGGGGTGGCAAGCAAAAGAAGGATACTTTTAACCAGCCATTTCCCACAGCTGTTAACTGAGCTGCTGTTTACAGTGGAACTTTTACTATTATTATTACTATTACTAAAAAATAAGGTAAAGGACCC